GGCCATCTCCAATTTAAAATTCTTTATATTTTAATCAGAAGCCAAAAAAGAAAAATTCCTCAAGAAAAATTCCAAACTTAATTAGCATTTTAAAATCCTCCTTCTATCAATACAGAGTTCTTTCCAGGCAAAGGGCTGCCAGCAAAACGAAGCTTTCTTTGACTTTCACTTTCCCCCGCCCCTTCAGGCTTCAATCGCCATTTTGTTGCAAAGTGCTAATTATTAGTTCCGAAGGAGGCTACAAATGTCGGAGTTAGGTAAAGATACTTGCAGTCTGATTTCTCCTTGCTTGTTCTGCCTGCTGCTGGTTCAAAATGTTAAAGTCCCCTCATTTCCATCGGCAGAATTGTTCGCGGCTTCTAGGTCCGCTAATTAGCGGATTCGTCCCTGGTCCGGAGCGGCTTGACAGGCTTTTAGGGAGCGCACACCCTTCGCGCCCCAGGATCCTTCCTAGGGCATTTGGGGGGGCTCAACCTCCACCTGTCAGTTCTTCTCTCTCCCCTTTGCCCGGGGAGAGGGTTCCAAGCCTCCAGACAGCTGTTTTTCGGCTGTTCTGGGGCTTTAACGGAACCGGGGATCGGGCGCTCGTAAAAGAGCGTCTTCGAGGCTAGCGGAGCCAACTGGAAGTCCCCTTTTCTTGGATTTCTTTAGTGAGTTTGTCCATCTCAGCACATTCCATTACTTTCGATATTATTTTATCTTGTGTTGGGATTTCTTCCGATTTCCAATTTTGTGCAAAGATGATTCTTGCTGCAGTCAGAATATGTGTAGTTAAATATTGTTTCTTTTTCGTAGCTATTTGTGAATATACCCAGTAAATATGTTTCCGGTTTTAATGGTATTTTTTGTGCTGTTATTTCTTCCAGTTGGATTTTAATTTTGTTCCAAAATTGTTTTGCTTTTGGGCATAACCACCACATGTGATAGTATGTCCCTTTTTTTATTTTGCATTTCCAGCAAAGAGGGGAAGTGTTGGGAAACATTTTTGAGATCCGTGCTGGGGGGAGATGCCATCTGTAAAACATCTTATAAGCATTTTCTTTATATGGTACTGATAATGTCAATTTACTATTAACTTTCCATAATTTCCATAATTACGGGACCGCCTTCTGCCACCAATTGCCTCCCACTGGCCAGTTCGCTCCCACAGAGGAGGCCTCCTCAGGGTGCCGTCAGCCAGACAATGTCGGCTGGCGACCCCCGGGGGAGAGCCTTCTCTGTGATGGCGCCTACCCTCTGGAACAATCTACCCCCAGAGATACGAGTGATCCCAGACCTCTGGACTTTTCGTCGGGCCCTTAAAACCTATTTCTTTCAGTTAGCCGGGCTGGCCTGATTTTATATTGGTTTTTAAAATTTGATACTGATTTTAAATAGAAATGTTTTTAAATTATGGGCCAAACTTTATTTAATTATTTTAAAACTATTTTAACTTTTGTGTTACAAATGTTTTATTTTTGGCTGTTCACCGCCCTGAGTCCGAAAGGAGAAGGGCGGTATAGAAATTTAAATAATAAATAAATAAATAAATAAATTTTTCCCATTTGCTTAGTTCAATGCTATATCCAAAGTTCTTCGCCCATGTAATCATATTCTCTTTTACTATTTCCTCTTCTAATTTATATGCAAGTAAAAAATTGTAAATTTTGATTATTAATTTCTCATTTGGGCCCAGTAGTATTTTATCCAATTCATTTGGTTGTTGTTGAATTCCATAATTCTCCATGTCTGTTTTGTATCTGGATTTTAATTTAGGTATGGCCACCAGTTGATTTCCACACCTTGTTCTTTTAATTCTTCTCTTGTTTTTAATTTTCCTTCATCATTTAGGAGTTCTTGATATGTTTTCATTTTATTTATATCCGTTGTATTTGGGTAAATTTGTGCTTCCATTGTTGAAATCCACCGTGGGATTCTATCGTACTGGTTTTTCCTAATTTCAGTCCAAATCTTTAGCAATGTGTCTCTCACAATATGTCTTCGGAATTGTTCATGTTTTTTAGGTTTCTCTTCCCATAAATATGCATGCCATCCTTTTGCCAGATCAAACCTTCTAATGTTAATATGCATTTGTTTTTGAGTTCGATCCACTCTTTAATCCATGTTAATGATGATGCTTTGTGATAAATTTGCCAATCTGGAAGCCCCATTCCTCCTCTTTCTCATTTGTCCTGTAGGTGTTTTAATTTGATTCTTGCCTTTTTCCCCTGTCAGATGTATTTTAGTATCATCTTATCAAAATCTTTTTTTTGAAAAGTTTTATAAGAGATACAATTTTCTCCCCCCACCCTTTCCCCCTCCCCACATAATAGAAAATGTACACTTTCTTATACATAGTAAATCCTACATATACATGTTTTCCTTAAAGAAAGCATTAAAATAAGGCATTTTTCTTATTTTCCTCCCCAAAAACTAAGGTGCGTTTTATACTCCGAAAAATACAGTAGTTTGGAAGAATAAGGCATTTTAATTACATTCGGAGTTGCTCTTCTTCTCTTTCTTCCCTCATTCCACAACAAACCTTCTTCTTCTCCTCCTTACTTTCCCTTCCCTCCCTCTTCTCTCCTACTTTCTCCTTCCTCTTCTCCTACCTCATCCTACTTCCTTTTCCTTTCCCCCACTTCTCTCTTCTTTTCCCCCTTCTCACCTTCTCTCCTACTCCTATCCCCTTCCCTTCCTCCTCTCCTTTCTTCCATTCCTCTCCCTCCCTTCCCTCTTCCTACCCTCTCCTCCTCTCTCCTTACTTCTTTGAAGTAAGTTTTTCCTGGATGTATTGGTATTACCTGGAATAAATACAGCATCCTTGGCAGAATATTCATTTTAATGGAGGCTATTTTACCTAGAAATGATAGCTGTAATTTAGTCCAGAATTTTAAATCTTTTTCTATTTGTTTGGCCAATTTATTATAATTATCTTCTTTGAGTGTTGATATTCTATTGGTAAGCCAAATCCCTAGGTATTTCACTTTCTTTACTATTTGTATTCCTAGTATATTTTCCAATTCTTCCCTTTGGTTTTTGGTGAGGTTCTTCGTTAGCATTTTTGTTTTTTGTTTATTGATTTATTGATTTTCAGGCCCGCTACTTCCCCATATTGTTCTATTTTTGTCAATAATTTGGATCCTGATTGTAATGGTTGTTCTAGGATGAGTACTATATCATCCACAAATGCTTGCAGTTTGTATTCCTGGTTCTTTATCCTTAATCCCGTTATTTGTTTATCTTCCCTAATTTCTTTCAATAATATTTCCAATGTTAGTATAAACAGTATGGAGGATAGTGGGCATCCTTGCCTCACTCCTTTCTTTATATCAAATTGTTCCATTGTCTCTCCATTAATCAATATTTTTGCTGTTTGGTTATTGTATATCCTTTTTTATTTTATTTTTTTTTATTTATATGCCGCCCTTCTCCAGAGACTCAGGGCGGCTTACAATGCGCTAAGCAATAGCCTTCATTCTTTTGTATGTTTATACAAAGTCAGCTTATTGCCCCCACAACTGGGTCCTCAATTTACCTACCTTAGAAAGGATGGAAGGCTGAGTCAACCTTGAGCCTTGGCGAGATTCGAACCTGCAGTAATTGCAGGCAGCTGTTCTTAATAACAGCTTAATAGCAGGGTGCTTTAGACCACTGTACTACCAAGGCTCTTACTTTTGATCATATTTAAGAATCTTCCTCCAAATTTCATCATTCCCAATTGCGTTATTAAAAATGTCCAATTAAGATTATCAAACGCTTTTTGTGCGTCCAGGAAAATTAATGCTACTTGCTTATCTAATCGTTGTTCATAGTATTCCAGGGTATCGATAATTGTCCTTGTATTATTTTTGATTTGTCGTCTGGGAATAAAGCTGTTTTGGTCTGGATGTATATAGTGATTAATTAAATTTTTCAATCTCTGTGTTATAATAGATGTAAATAGTTTGTAGTCTACATTAAGAAGGGATATTGGTCTATAATTCTTAATTTCAGCAGGATCCGAATCTTGTTTTGGTATTAACGTAATTATTGTTTCATTCCATGATTGTGGAATTTCAGCTTCTAGGAGTGCGTCGTTAAATACCTGTATTAGAATGTCATCTAGTGATTGCTGGAATGTCTTATAAAATTCGGATGGTATGCCATCTGGTCCCGGTGTTTTGTTGTTGTTTTTGTTTCTTCCTTGCTTCTATTAATTCTAACATGGAAATCGGTCTATTCAATGATTCAGTGTGGTTTTAATTCCTGAATATTTATTTTGCTTAAATATTCTAGTGTCTTCCTCTCAAATTTCTTCTTTTGCATATAGGTTTTGGAAGAAGTCCCTTGCGATTCGTTTTTTATCCTATTATAGTATATTTGTCCGTCTTCGTCTTTTAATTGTTGTATCATTTTCTTCTCTTTTTCTTTTTTCAGTTTGTAGGCCAGCCACCGGCCAGTTTTATTTGCATGTTCAAATTTATTTTGTTTAGCCATTTTAATTTTTCTTGCTATCTCTGTTGTAATTAGATTTATTTTATGTCTTATAAGGTTAATTCTCTCTTTAATTTCTTTATTATATGGCTCTTCCTGTAAGTCTAATTCAGATTGTTGCAGGTGCGTCAATAAATTCTCTTTTGTTTGTTGTTTGTCTTTAATTTTTTTTTTTTTGCTATGTAGGCGATTGTTAGACCTCTTATATAAGCTTTGGTTGTATCCCATAGATTTTGAAGACTAGTATGTTCTTTTACATTAATTTGGAAAAATATTTTTAATTCTCTTTGGATCATTTCCACGTATTGTTTGTCCTTTATGATGTCTCTGTCCATCATCCATCTTCTCTGTGCTTGATGACCCTTCCATGTTATTACAATCGGACTATGATCTGCCCATGTATTTGTTGCAATTTCTATTTGTTTGATATCTAACCTGAGCTCTGCTGTCATCCAAGCCATGTCGATTCTGGACCATGATTGATGCGGATTCGAATAAAATGTAAATTGTTTTTTGTTTTGGTTGATTTCCAAGGGTCTTGTATTGGAGTTCTTTTTTTTTAATAGAATTTTGTTTTTATTTTCAAAAACACAAACAAAACAAAACATAAAAGCATTACCATTCCATACAATTTTAGACAGTGCATCAGTCGGTGGCATTTTTGTGCTTCTCTTCTCTTCAATTTATCATTAAACATGCTAGCTTATTTCCAAAAGTTTCAACATCCATTTATATCATAATTATTTCCAATTCTTATTCTCTATCCATTGGTAAAATAGATCCCATATCAAGTAATATTGTCTATCTTCCTGCTCTCTTATTTCAAATGTCAGTTTATTCATTTCAGCACATTCCATCATTTTCTTTATAATTTCTTCATCATTAGGTAACTTTTCTCCTTTCCAATTTTTAGCAAATACAATTCTAGCTGCTGTCAAAAGATTCACAATTAAATATTGCAGTTCTTTACTATATGTCTCCGGTATAATCCCTAATAAAATATCTCTGGTTTAAAGTCAATATGTCTCTTTATCATTTTTTCCAACCACGTGTGTATCTTAGTCCAATATCTCCTTGCTTCTACACATGTCCACCATATGTGGTAATAGGATCCTGGGGTCTGATGACATTTCCAACATTTCTCCGATTTATTCTGGAACATTCTGGCTATTCTTTTTTTTTTTTTTTTTATTGAAAAGGTTTTCAAATACAAATTTTTCCCCCTTTTTCCCCCCCCTTCCCCCCTCCCTAACCCCCCCTCCCCACCCTTCCCCCCCTGTGACTTCTTCGTAACAAAAAAAACCCCTAATTCATAACAGATTACTTACTCCCTCCTCAAAATACTGACCTTTACTTACTAAAAGTATTATAAATCCCCCTTTATCCATACATTTCAGAAAAGAAGAAGAGAAAAAAAACAAAAAAAAACAAACACATTATACTATAACTATTATAAAATAACTTCTAATTTAGCATAATAGTGTTTTATATCTATACATTATTGCAACAATTCAAAACCACCTTCCACTTTAAAACTATACGATAAGTCCTACTTTAATAACATTTCAAAGCGGGCTCCCCATAAAATCTAATTTAACATTTATTCCACTCTATCCATTTCCTCCACTCCCCTAAATGTATCACTTAAAAATCCCTTTTCTTAAACTAATCAGTCTGTAGCTAGCTTATTCACCCACTGTCTTACAAATTTACCATACACAACAATTCTTGATATCTTTAATTCACTGCCCACACTACTTAAAAATATATATATATATATATTCCATTATATCTAAATAAAAAAAGAAAAGACAATAACTTTAAATTTATAGTCCATATAATATCTTCTTGAAGTCTTTCCACTGGATTGTTAAAACCAACATCCATAATAGGGTAACATAGCTTGCTGATGCAACAGTTTATTCAAGATCTCCAATCATATCTGCCCCCATCAGTAGTAAACATCTTCTTATATATATAAAAGTAAAAACAACCACCCGAGTGACATTATAATTATATTCCATATAATAATAATTGTGGGTTTCATCAGGATTATTAATTTCCATCATCGTATTGGGTAACAACCCGATCTTCTGCATGTCCCAATGTGATTCTCTTGCCTTATAATTCAAGATAATTATAATATATTTATCAACACAAAAAGAAGTTTCAAAGTAGATAATTCAAAACCATCAATTTGAGGCTCTTTCCATGTCCCAAAATTACGGCAATGCAGAGATCTGCCACTATCCTCAGGATGATATTGACCAATATGTCGCCTCCTCTATGTTTTCACATAATCATTCATATTTTAAAATCACTGGCTTCACTGTTGCTTGGGTTAGAAATTTCTATTTTTGTACAACCTATTTCTTTTTTTGTTTTCTTTTTGTGGGTTTGACTTCCATCCTAATTTTTTGTGTCTCGCATTTCTTTTTTATCCCTTGTATATCCTCTAATTGGTTTCCATGCTTGTCCTTGCCTTGATAAGTCATCACATTAAAATCAGATGGCACTTCTCTCAAATTTGTAGATAATCCAGCTGGGGTATCCGATAAATCCAAAGGCAATTTATCTGGTACAGTCTCTGTCTTTAGTTCCAGCTCCTTCTGCTTATCCTGTATTATATCTGAAGACGTTAAATTCATTTTCAACCTATTTTGATAAAATTCTTCCGCTCTTTCAACAGTATTTAACTGGTATCTTTCTCCTTGATATCTCAATATAATACCAACTGGGACGTCCCACCGGAATTGAATATTTCTCCTTTTTAACTCAGACACCAGAAAGCCAAATTTCTTCCTTTCCATTAATATCTTAGGTGGGAGTTCCTTGTAAATCCAAATCTTTCTTCCATACAATTGCAAATTAGAATTGAAGGAATTTTGCACAATTTTATTCCTAATTTCTTTATCTGAAAAATAGATTACCACATCTCTAGGCAATTGCCTTTGCTTGGCAGTCCAGGAGTTTATTCGATAAGCTCTGTCAATCCTACAAAACACTTCCTCAGGTTGAATCTTTAAAATCCCAGCTAGAAATTCAGAAGATATTTTCCTTAAGTCATCTCTGTTATTTTCCTGCAAACCTCTAAGTCTTATTGCATATTCTGTGAAATTATATTGTATCTTTAGAACCTCTTTTTCAATCCTCTGTTGCAGATTTTCTACATTACCAGACTTTTGGTCAGCATCCATTTTAAATTTTTCTTCTGAACTATAATCCTGAATATTTAACAAATCATTTTCAATTTTTTGAATTCTATTGTCCAATTTATCTTGAATTTCATCCATTTTTGACTCTAGTAAATTAGTATTTGTATCCAACCGAATCATGAATTCTGACACTTTTAAAATTTTTTGCTGCAAAAAGTCAAACTTGGATTTCACCAATTCCTTAGTTTCCTGCTTAAATTTTTCAAGTTGCTGATTCACAATCTCATCCCTTCTTTCAATCTCCTCTAAGAGAAATTCTATTATATTAAAATCAGGTTTCTGGGACTGAAGAGTTAAAACTTGTTCCTTTAAATTCTTAGTGGGGGAATCCCCCCCACCTATTTGTTTGTCTGACTTCACAAGCCTCAGTGCCATGTTTCCGCCTAAGCAGGCTTTGTTAGAAGAAAAAAAAAAAAAAAACAAGACAAAAGACTTCCAGCCAGCAACAATGCCTCCAGGGGAAAAAGAGAAAAACAAAAACAGGAGCGGAGTTTTGTCTACAAATGTAGCCAGTGGTATTTATTCCGCTACATTGTAATAATAAAAAACGGAAGAACTTTCCCTCTCAAACTCTTCTCCAGCCGCGGCAGACGCCATTTTAAAAAGAAACTTTTTTCCTCTTTCTCTTCCTCTATTCTCTTAAGTAATTTTTAAAAGATAAGTAAAATACTTGCGCTTCAGTATTACAGGTCCAGCTCACATTTTCTTTGAGTAATCTGTCAAATTCGCAGGCTTGCTTTTGACGCCTGGCTCTGCATTAGCAGAGGTCTCCCAAAGCCCGGAGCAGCGGCTGGGGATATGGGGCATCTCATCCGCTCCATCCCAAAAGTAAAAGAAAAACTTTTGGGACTCTGCAGAGAGTTCTACCCACCCCTGCCGGCTCTATCTCCGTTTCCTCATGGGAACGGAGTTTTTTCGAGCCGCCGTTCCGTTGTGAAGGCGGCTCTGACAGGCAGTGGAAGCTGACGATCCCAAAGGAACGTCTGGCGGCGGCCAGCAGCAAACAGGAAGTCCATTCTGGCTATTCTTGACAGGGATAAATGCCACCTGTAAAACATCTTATACAAATTCTCCTTATATGCTGTAGAGATTGTCATTTTACAATTATGTGACCACAATTTTTGCCATTTCTCTAAATCAATACCATAACCAAAATTCTTCCCCCATGCTATCATTGATTCTTTAACTTGTTCTTCTTCCAATTTAACCTCTAGTAAATAACCATATAGCCTTTTAATTACATCATCAGAACCCATCAAGATCTTGTCTAGATTAGTCAATACATTATAAAAGCCTTCTTGTTTAAGGTCTTCTCGATATCTAGAGAGTATTTGCATGTATGAAAACCAATCCATCTTATACCCTTGATCTTCCATGTCTTGCTTTAACTTAAGTTCATCCTTTTCATCCAATAATTCCTTATATCTTATAATTTGTTTCCCTTTAAACACCACTGGATACGAAAATGCTTCAATTGTAGATACCCAGACTGGTATTTTCAAGTAGTGATTTTTTTTTAACCTTCTCCCAATTCAACCATAAGGCTTCACGTATTTTATGTCTTCTAAAATACCCCTGTATTTTAGTTCCTTTATACCACAAAAAAGCATGCCATCCCAACAACAAATCATGTCCCTCCAAATTTAACAATCTAGTATTTTTTAATGATATCCATTCTTTAGTCCACATTAAGCTAGCTGCTTGATAATAAAGTTCAAAATTAGGTAAACCAAAACCACCTCTCATTTTAGCACCTTGTAACAACTTCATTGGAGTTCTTGTACCATATCCTGAAATGTGTCCAGTAGTATTTTTTTCCTGAATTTATTTTTTTTTACTACTTTGATAATCCTTCTCTATATCTACTATTGCATTATAGACTCCGATGAGACATATATTTTCATAGTCCAATTCTTTAATTATATTATGTATTTTTTGAAGTAATCAGTTTGGCTTCCATTCGGCGCATAGAGTAACACTAATAGTATGTTTTTTGTTCCTGTTTTAATCTCAATCATCAGGGTCCTACCCTCCTCATCTGCAAATATTTGTTTTGCTTGTATGTGATTTTTGATATATATATTGCAATGCCTTTCTTTTTTGTTCTGTTAATGCAGTATAGAGTGTTCCCAGTTGTTTATTTTCTAACAATTTTTGATGTTGTTTTTTAATGTGGACTTCTTGTAATGTTATGATATCTGTCTTCAATTTCTGTAAGTTTTTAAATATACGAGTTCTCTTAGATGGAATATTTAAGCCATTTATATTAATTGATATCAGTTTTAGTTCCTTCTCCATTCCAATCCTCTATTTCCTTACTGTCCTGAGTCTTCTTGTGTTTTTTGCAATAATGTGTTTTTTCCCTTGCTCCCTCTCTTTCCATCTTCTCTTTCTCCATTCTCGTTCTTCCTTCTCGTTCTCTCTGTATTTCAGAGGCCCTCTTTTATAATAGAATCTTGTTGAACTTCTGATTCTTGTTCCTCTTCTAGTACAAAATACCTATCAAAAAATTGTTGTGCTTTTTCTAAGGTGTCAATCCTGTGTTTTTTGTCCTACCATGAAACCAGAATTCCCTTGGGTGTCAACCACCGGAACATTATTTTGTGTTTGTTCAATCCTGTTGTTAGAAAGTTATAATATTTTCTTGTTTCTCTTATTCTTCTCGGAATTCGTTTTAAGGTTATAATTTATCTTTGTAAGTAATTACTTCCTCTCTCATTATTTTATATACTTCTTCTTTCACCGATTTCCTTGCGAATCTAATATGAATTTCTTTAGGTAATTTGTTTCTTCGAGCGTAATTTGTATATACTCTATAGACTTCGTTGATTTCTTTATTAATTTCCTCCTTATCTTTTTGGGTCGCCTTTGCTAAAATCCCCACCATCAAATCTCTCACATTCTCTTCTCTATTTTCAGCGATGTTTTGAAATTTTAAGTAGAAGTATGCCTTCTCCATTTCTAAGTACGATATAGAATCTTCTAGTTCTTTATTCAATGTTATTTGATTACTTTCCATATTATCCAATTTCTTTTCTGCTTGGTCCATTTTTGTTTCAATATTTTGGATCCGTTGTTCATTTTTTGCAATGTTTTTTTTTAATTCAAAAAGGTTTTTTATTTTATAAACAAATAAACAATACATAATCAATCAGTCAATATATCTTCTGAATATATCTTTTATGTCTTCTTTTTGCTCCTCCAATATTTATCATATCTTAATATTGTCATTTCCTTTAATATGACATTTCCCCCACTTTTCTTACTTCACTGTTAATACATTTATCTATCTTTTAATTTTATTGAAAATTAGACAACCATTTTATCCCCACGCAACCTTCAACCCCCCCTTCCCCACCCCTACCCTCGACTTCCCAGAGCAAAAACAGGGTAAAGCAGTAAACAAACATAAGCTAAAATATACTAACTTACTACAAGATTCAAAACTCCCTCACACTCTTTAACTCCTCTTTTAAAAATTGTTCATCAGCCTCCCCTTTTGGAATTCTGATTTAAGCATTATAAAACTTCCTTTAAAGCATATCTTTTTAGAAGAAAAAAAATTATTATTTTATATCCATTCAACTTTAAAATTAACCGTTTTAGTACTTCAGTAAGTTTTTTTTAAAAAGACACTTCAATAAAATATTCTTCAGAATATAACCTTAAAAATACTATTAATCCATTGAATTCAATTTCAAAAGTTTCAGAAAGCTATCCATTAACTTTAAAGTTAACCATTTTAATACCTCAGTAATTTTAAAAAAGCTATTCATTTTTAATTAAACATTTTTACTTAAACTTAAAAAAAATAGTTAAACATTTTTACTTAAACTTAAAAGATACTAATTTCGGTAAACTTTTCAAATTTATTATTAAAATCCTCCCCAAAAGAAACTAATCTTCAATTCTTCCTTTCTTTCTATATTTTTTCCGGTCCTTCTTCTTCAATACTTTCTTCTTCAACATTGCTCCTCCCCCTGCTTTTATTTTTGAAAATTTTTGAATATAGATTTGAGGCTGATGCTTCTTTGGAAATCCTTCTCTTCTAAAAATTATCTCCTTCAATTTGAAATCTCCATTTTGATTCTTCCTGCTTATATAATCAATCACTTCCTTCCTTGAAAATTGATTCTGTCTATCAAGCCAAAAATTGTCACGATAAAGTTTATCAATCTGCAGGAAAGAGTCTATTTGCTGCTTTTCAATTAACTGCATAAAAGCTCCTGCCGAAACCTCTGTTTTCTGTGTGCTAACTTCCATCATATTCCTGACAGCCTCTTTTCCCTGCTCCAGAGTCGAAATAAGTTGATTTTCTTCCTCTTTTCCAGCCAGCAAATCATTGTTGTTCTCCCAATTATAATTTTGAATAGTCCTTTCAATTGATTCCAATATAACAGAAGTATAAAAATTTAAAAGTTCTTGTAAAGCCTTTACAGTCACAACTTGTGAATTTGCTGGCTCATATAATAATGATCCTCCATCCTTAATGTCAGCCATATTTCAATTTCCACTTTAAATTTATTCAGCTGTTAGGTCAGTAAATCCAATAATTTTCCACAGAATTTAGAAGTATAAAGTAGTTGGGATCAGTACCATAGTCATTTTCATTCCACTAGCACTTTAAATCTTCTTCTTGCCGCATAATCCAGTAGCTTTTACAATGTTGCAGCTTTAACGATCACTTTCACTAGTAAGTTTCGTTTTGACATCCTTAAGCGCCATCTTTTTTCCTTTTCTTTTAAACGGAGTTAAAGTTTAGTACTTGCATTTTCTGTTCTCCTGATTTGCTCTGCCAGCGTCCAGGTTCAAATTTTCTTATAATCCTTAAAATTGCTCTGCTGGTGTGGTCGCGACCCCTTGTTCTGCATAAAGCAGAATCGTTCCGGATCTGTAGCACTGAAGGGCTTTCAGGGAGCTCTCACCCTGCAAACCCCAGGCTTAAAAAAGAAAGCCTGGGGGTCTAGGGGAGCTCTACCCAGACCCTTCTGCTTTTCTCTCCCCCTTTTTCCCTGGGGGAGAGTTTTGAGCCGCTAGAACAGCTGATTTTCGCTGTTCTAGTGGCAAACAGAATCACGGGGCTGGAGCTCCTAAAGGAGCGTCCATTCAGGGAACGCGGAGCCACCGGAACCCGCCCATTTTTTGCAGTGTTTTGTTGTATCTTTTCGATCTTATCGTCCATTTTTTAAATATTGTCCATTATTTCTCCTACATCTGATTTCAGTTCTTTATGATTCTTCCTGGTTTCCTCGTGATTATTGGCTATTGATTCTTGTGTTTTATTCATCCCCTCTTGTATCATCGCCAAGACTGAATGTATATTTTGAATATTGAGTGTTGGGGGGGGGTTCTCTTTTTCTATGGATAGCATTGTGTCTATCGTTTTTTGTTGTATTCGTGATGCAATGATCGATGTCTGGTTGGGAATTATCCTTTTACTTGTTTTAGTTGTCGCAGATGGTCCTGTAGTTGTCATCTTAATTTTCTGTTTTACCGCTTCCCAAATTTTCATACACAATTTGCCTTATGAAATCAATTCGTTAGGATTTATTGCTGATAAATTTTACATATGGTTTATATTAATTGTGGGAACAGGATATAGTTATTTAACTTTCAGATCAATTCTTCTGAAGTTCACTTTTCAATATCGTTATATGAGGGCCGAGAAGTATTTATTGGGGAGCAGGGAAAAAAATCAGGTATTTCAGCAAATCATGTATCTATTCTAACTTAAATATACTATTAAATTCTTGCCTTTTTATTAAATCTTATCAGTATTAAATGTCAATTCTTATCTTAAACAATGGTATATATATGATTACTATAAATTATATATATGTTAAACACACTATGTATATTTTAAAGAATCTGCTTCACACTATTTTAATTTATCAATATAATAATATATCAATGACTCAGGTTTATATTAAATTCTATCAGAAAGAAAAGGGGAAAGACAGGAAAGAAGATAAGGTATTTGTTATAATACTGTTATCTATTCAATTCCTAAAATATTATCAATCTATTGCTACAATTGGATATTATTGAATATTATTCTATCTTTCCTCGTTATATATCTGAGTAAATATGTACTCTTTTCTTATTCTCTGTATTTACCAATTCAATTTGCTTATACTGTAAATTTAAACTTGTAACTTATAATACAATAAAATATAATCATAGAAAATTAGAAGAAGATAGAGGAGATTTAATTGATTAATTAAATATATCACTAAATCAACTTAAGTTGTAATTAATATACAGATCTTAATAGCTGGATTCCGCTTCCGAAATCGTGATCTTTGTAATTCTCAGTTAGTCTTGCATCATTCAAACTTGTCTCTCATAGAAATTGTTGCACATGTCCTTCAGTTTAAGTTCCAATAGTGTTAGTTTCGCAATATCAAAAAGCCCAAATATCACTTAGTTGTTTCAGGGTAAATGCCCTAATATGATTATTTAAATCCAGGCCAGCTGGAGATGGCTGGTTTTTTTCGATCGGAATTAAGGGATTTTCCCTGAACCTTAGGGGCGATTGCTGTTGCCTCCGAAGTCCTCGAGATTTCCCCTTTAATCTATTGACCTCTTCATGGTCAATAGCGCCAGAAATCGGCTTCCAGATCAAAAATTTTGGAACTCAGGGAACGGAGCTCAGTCCCCTTTATTCCTGGCACGATGACGTCACTGCCGGAAGTCTGTATTAAAACATTTCTTAATCTCTATCTCTCTAGAGTAGGCTGAGTATCCTGATTTCTTTATTTGTGTAAGGATTCTCCCATGGATAAAACGAGTTTCCCATGGCAAACTCTATTTCTGTGAAGAATAGCTTCTTTTGTCCTTTATAGCTACTTTCTTTCATTTCTTGCCTTACTTACTAATTTATGCTTTTGCAATAGCACTCATTAATATCTTCAATTCAGAAATAATTATCTGAGGAGAAAAAAATATCTTTTTTGGGTAAATAAAATACTGGGTAAATAAAAGCCTGTTAGTTAGGTACCTACAGAGCAGTGATTACCTTCCGTTAACTACTGCCATTGCACTACCTTTCATTATAAATGGGCTTCATGTACATCTGCTTTGATCTTTCTCAGTTACTTATTAAATAGATCTGTTTAGAAGGAAATCATGGGGTGACAGATGTCACAGTTCTATAACAGAAAATTTTACAGAGACAGAATTGACTTTATATTTTTTATATACTTGATTCATAAAATTTATTAAGAATACTTGAAGGGTTTCAAAATTGGTGCCGACTAGCAGTGAAAAACTGCTGAGAATATGAGAAATAAGTCAGAGTTGATTAGTAATGAGAAAATGACAGATAGATGGAAAGTGTACTATACATGGAGTATAGTAGCCTTTTCTAACCGGGCATTCTCCATTTGTGTTTGAATTGCCACTCCTGGTATTCCCAGTGAGGATAGGCAAAACATGGGAATGCATCTGGTTGGAGAAGACTACTTCAAAGTAAGCATGTTTTGAAATATTAAACTGAAAATGTCTTTTGTTTGAAGACATAATTTTCTATAAAATTACACATTTCATGAAATAGTAATTTCATCTTCATACGTTATACATATAAAATATCCTTCAACCTGTAATATTGGGGAACTACCTAGTTACTCACCAGAGAATATTCTTCTAGTATGCTTGACGTTCATTATGCTTATGGGACAAAACAAACTATGCAACTATATGTATGAAGTATTAGAATGTGATAGTTGAACAGGTTTCAAAATATTAACAGGTTTTTATGTACATGATTGATGAAAGAGCTATCCAATGTTCACATCAAACTTTTAATGAAGATGTACTAATTCCCACTCTGCTTAGACAACCTACAGGCATTGATAAGTTAGAAAAGCAAATTTATTTCTACTTCCCTTTGTTTCTCAGGGAGGCATCTCTGGCACTATTGCATCCTCAAGACTGATGAGACCACAGCTCAAAGAAATGGAATCTACAAATTGTTGGGGCTATGTTTAGCCTTGATGTTTTTCATTAGTTTGCAGAAATACAATTCTGCATTTCTTATTTTGTATTTTATTTCAGAGAAATGCACAATATTACCTATGAGAACAGTGTGGTATAGTAGCTAATGTACCAACCAGCAGTTCAATCACCTATTTCAGAACATTCTAATAGCCAATCTGGAAAGTATTAATCATTCTTCTTTCTATCCTGAATTTTGCATTTGAAGGTACAATTTTTATCATCTTGGAGAGCATATGTTCTATGACTGTATGTGCTCCTTGGTCCACAAGTGCGACCCGTTATTTTTCTTCTTGAATTCCTTAAGAGATAGGAACAGTAAAACATTTGATCGTACTGTATAACCCTGTTTCCAGCAGTCTGCTTGATGGCATCATGAATTCCAACCTCCATTTCGGCAAACGCTCTCTCCGTTCTTCCCTGCAACAAAAACCACCGCATTGTGACGCAAAACATTCTCGGCAACCAAGTAATTCAGTCTAAAGAAGTTCCTGGAATTGGGGCAGCTTGTCATGTCTTTGAAGAAAGGCATAATTGTCTGTAATTTTGAGCACGAGCTCCACTGTCCAAATCTCAAGCAACGTCCCAAAGGCCATCCACTTTCATTTCCGCTTCGGATAAACAAAATAAAGGGAACCTTTTCCTACGATTCCCGGCTTCAGGACAGCGATGGAAGTAGAACAGTGATCAATTTCCTGTGTCTGATGGACAAATCAGGACCCAGTGACACCCAAAGAGGTGGCGCCTTCCTTCTCTTCCGTTGCGAACTCCCGGGATTCCACAGGTGGCTGCGCGTTCTGGTTAGGGAGGGCGGCTCCTTGGCTTTGGAGACGGGGCGGGGGAGGGGGGCGTTCGTTTTCCACCTCTCGCTCACCTCCTGGCTATCTGTCATGATATTTACAACTGCCCAGGACCTTATGTAATTACAGGGTAAGCCTGGGGGAAGGGAATTATTGGGAGGAGCTGCGGGAAGACGACAGGGAAACATTGGGCAAGGAAAGTAGCGATGCCCACTCCCCCGATGCTAAAAAGAACAGTGGGAGCAGTTTGGGTGTACCCGGCAAATAGCATTGTCGCCGGGATCTAGGAGGATCTTTGGAAGGAGTCTTGCTGTTGCCGGAGTCTATCTTCCAAACCGCTCCGGAATGATCTTGCTGGAACGGAAGGTTTGCTACTCCAGGAAGGCTAATCAGTATTAGAAAGTTAGCAAAGGGAGTGGTAGCTTCTGTTCCTTTCACAGCGAAGAACCGGAAAATATTTCTTCCAAGATTTGGAATCACAGTAGAAAAATAACTAAATTTTGAACTTTTCGGCATATGGTAATATCCAATATTTGTGCATAAGACAGAAAGAGATCTTAGCAGGGCCGTTATTCTACTCTTGGATCCTTGCATCTCCAGAGTTATCCTTTGCATGTTTGGGAACCATTATTTTAGCATGAGTGTTGTTTATATATTTCTAACATCAATGGTTCATGTCCCACTGGATGTTATTGGGTCTGAAGTAGCTGTTATTGAACCAGATTTATCTATTTTGTGATGTACTATATAATACTACTAGGGTGAACAATGGTTTTAGTCCCAGGGGCTAGCATTCTTCTTTTAACTTCAACCCCAGCATTGTAAGCAAAATGATCTTGTGAAGCAGATTTTCTTTAAATTAGCATGAAAATGGCAGAATGAGAAATATGAATAATTTCCAATGGTAGAATTCTAAAATGCTATCTGAACATTAAAAAATTAGTAAACAAATGCAAAATATCAATATGAGAACCTTGAGAAAATTGTATCTGCTTGTATCTATTGATTTGAATTGAACACAATATTTTTGTTTATATTATAGAAATGTAATATAATAAATGTTATGGAAATGTTATATATGTTAAGTAAGATCCTGCACCTAGGCCAATATATTTGTTTCACAGAAGGTACAAGATGACTGGAAGAGGGCAAATAAGGGGAAGAGGATATTGAAAAAAGTTGGGAAATGGCACAGCTCCTTTGTTGGCTACTACCATAACTATTACTTTTCATCTTTTTCTTACAAGGGAATGCTATCCATTGTGTACCAACTATTATCCACATATCTGTCTGCATTCCATTGGCACCACAATCTCAGCTCCTTTTTTGCTCCTGCAGATTTGTTTTGTCTTCATAAGAAAAAATATTTGAAGAATCTCTACTCACTGCAAACTGAAATGTTGCAGTCCATCCCATCAGCCCAACATTCTTGCCCAACTAGATTTAGGTCTAGTTGATGTACAGGTGAAATTTGAAAAATTAGAATATCGTGCAAAAGTTCATTTATTTCAGTAATGCAACTTAAAAGGTAAAACTAATATATGAGATAGACTCATTACATGCAAAGCGAGATAGTTCAAGCCTTGATTTGTCATAATTTTGATGATTATGGCTTACAGCTTACAGAAATTCACAATCTCAGAAAATTAGAATATTACATGAAATCAATAAAACAAGGATTGTACCTAGAACAATATTGGACCTCTGAAAAGTATAAACACGCATATGTACTCAGTACTTGGTTTGGGCCCCTTTTGCATCAATTACTGCCTCAATGCGGCGTGGCATGGATGCTATCAGCCTGTGGCACTGCTGAGGTGTTATGGAAGACCAGGATACTTCAATAGCGGCCTTCAGCTCTTCTGCATTGTTCTATATGCCTAATTGTTCTTGATCCTTTTTAGTCTTGTTTTGATTTGTAAGTAGGGCCACCATTCTATGTTTATTCCTTGTATTTTCAACATTTGCATTGATTTTAATTCTCCTTTCTCATCTAAAATTTCTGAGTATTTTACCATTTTATTGAGGTCTATTGTATTTTGGTGTGTCATTGCCTCCATTGTCGATAACCAGTTTGGGATTTTCATATAGTGATTTTTTTTTTAACTTTACCCAGACGTTGGGTATGGAATTTCTTATTATATGCCTCTGAAAATATGAATGTGTTTTATTTTTATCTTCCCATAGAAACCAGTGCCAACCTATTTGGAGATCGTGTCCTTCTAATGCTAATATTCTTTTGTTTTTAAGTTGAATCCAATATCTTAATCATGTCAGGGCTGCTGCCTGGTAGTAGAGCTCCCAATCCGGGAGGCCAAAGCCCCCATGATTCCTACTGTCTTGTAAGAATTTAAGTTTGATGCGGAGTTTTTTACCTGCCCATATAAATTTGGATGTTATTTTATTTATTTGTTCGAAAAATTTCTTCTCTAATTTTACCGGTATTGTTTGAAAAAGGTATAGCAATTTGGGTAATACGTTCATTTTGATTGTTGAAATTCTGCCAATTAGTGATATCTGTAATTTATTCCAATTTTTCAAATCTTTTCGTATTTGTTTTATCAGTGCATTATAATTATACTCTTTTATCGTACTACATTTTGCTGATAGCCATATTCCCAGATATTTAATTTTTTTTACTCTTAAAATTCCCATTTTCTCCTCTAATTCTTCGTTTTGTCTTTTAGTTAGATTTTTGGTTATTATTTTAGTTTTCTCTTTATTTATTTTAAGCCCTGTCACTTTGCCAAATTGGTTTATATCCTGTAGTAATATTAATCCCGTCTCTAAGAGTTCTTCTATGATAAATACCAAGTCATCAGCGAAGGCCTGTACTTTATATTCTTGTTCTTTAATTTTTAATCCTTTGATTTCCCGATTCTGTCTAATTTGTTGCAATAGTGTTTCTATTGAAAAAATAAATAGCAGAGGAGATAGAGAGCATCCCTGTCTGACTCCTTTTGTTATGTTGAAGCCTTCTGTTGTTTCTCCATTTAATACTATTTTTGCTTTCTGGTTTAGTATATTGCTTTTACTGTTTCATTTAATATGTTTTTCATCCTTTCTGCCATTATTGTATCTTATAATCAGCATTCAGCAGCGAGATTGGCCTATCATTTTGGATTATTTTCCTTTCCACATTATCTTTGGGAATTAAGGTTATCAGTGCCTCCATCCAAGATTTTGGTATCATTGCTTGCTCTAGTACTTCATTATATGTTTATAATAGTAACTTCTCCAGTGGTTTTTGTAATTCATTGTAAAATTCCATTGGAATTCCATCTGGACCTGGTATTTTATTGCTTTTTTGTTTTTGAATTGCCCTTTGTAATTCTAACATCATTATTTTTCTATCTAATGTTTCTTTTGCGGTTTCTGGTAAGGTTGGGAGGTTTCTCTGCTGTAGATATCTTTTAATGTCATCTTCCTCTATGTTCTCCCAACTATATAAATTTTGGTAGTATCTTACTGCTATATTTTCTTTTTATTCCTTCTGAAGGTGTGCTATCCCTTTCTCCAACTAGAGGGAAAAACGTCCGTCAGGATGGGGAAACGCCCAGTCTAGCCAATGACCGAGTCCTTCCAAAGCTAAGGCACCGCCCTCCTTAGGTGCCCCAGTTCTTCGTCTCGGTCTTCGCCTGACAGGACGTGTCCTCATCTGAAGAACGTTTTCTCCTCAGCAATTCTCAGCTTGCTTAAACAAAGAAAGGGAAAAGAACGCCTGATTCCCTCTTCGTATCGGCAAGTACTAGCGAGCGGCAGGCTTCGCGCCTGTCAGCTGGGAGCGAGGAGCGAGATTAGCGCTGTTTAGCCTGGCTGCGTTTCAAAGGCCTTTGCCTAGCAGCGAATTCCTCTGCCGTTACAGTCCCTGCAGTCGCGTTTTAAGCCGGACGGTTGTGCGCTTCATCAAACGACTAATTAGGGCTAATTTCAGCAGCGGGGAAGCTTACCTAATTATCAACAGATCGGAGGGGGATAAGACTCTCTTTTTAGCGCTCTTGTTTCTTCCGTTGGAAATCAAGCCTTGGCTGCGTCTTAATACGCTCCCTAAAATGGCGGACGCCAGATAGACCTCTCGAGGACAGTCTCCCTCAGCGGATTCCCGCCGGCGCCATTTAGCGATCCCCTCGAGGGATCTTCGGCCTCCATACCTCCTCCCAGCAAGAAGTCCAGATCTAAGCGCAATAATACACAGCCATCTGCTCCTGGGGGGTCGCGTGAAGAACAAAGGCGGCATAAAGCCTTCGAGAAGGCTTTTCAAAGGGCTCAGAACCAGGCTTTGGGTCCAGAGAGGCCTGTTTCCCAGTCCCAACCTCTGGCACAGTCTTCTCGCTCGGTGAGGGAACTCTCACCAGATATTCTGGGAACTTCTCAGGGAATTTCGCCTTCTGAGCCCCAAAGGCTTTTCCAGTCCCTTCCAGAGGCTAATTCATCTCATACTCTGGGTTCAATGGCGGCTCCTCCTCCTCCCCCTCCGCCTCCCGCTGTTCTTCCGAACCCGATGACTGATTCATTAGAGGCCTTTATTGCCAGGGCAATACGCCAATCTATCACTGACTGCCTGGCTCAGAACCCGGCTCCGCCTTCTTCAGGGGCTTGGCCTCACGCCTATTCAGGGCTCCGGGGAGAGGAAGTACTGGATCAAGGACATTCTGAATTATAGGTTCCCCTAGATCAAGCTTCGGTCTCTGAGGGTGATGAATTTCAAGACCAGGCCTGGTCGGATGACGAAGTCTTAGGACCTGACCAGCCTTCCTTCGTTGGTTTCATTCAAGCCCCATCTCTTTCGCTCTCTACTGTTCAAGGCCATTGCAGTCACTCATTTGGGATCTCCACCTTCGGTAACATCTACTTCATCGGAATCGGACCCCGCGGTGGCCATGTTTGCTGAACCCACCACTGATCCGGAAACCATCCCGGCTCCTAAATTATTCACCGATGTCCTTCAGCGCCAATGGGCTTTACCTGGGGCCGGTCCTAGTCCCAATGGTTTGGACAAACGACTATACAATTCCGCGTCTCCTCTGGTGGATATTTTACAAGTGCCCCCGGTGGATCCCCCCATAGTGGCTTTGACTGATTCTGCTCATCCCACAGGTCCTCCGGAAGAATCCCTGCGCCCTGAGGACAAAAGAGCAGAAAAGACCCTCTTAAAAGGGCACCATGCCAGGGCCTGGGCTATACGAGCTTCCACATCGACCTCATTTTTTAACAGGGCGGCCTTGCTGTGGCTCAAACAACTTCAGGCCAAACTTCCTCTTTCAGATACACAGTCTCACCAAGACCTAAATAAGATTGCCGCAGCTCTTGAATATTCAGTGGACGCCACTCTGAATTCGGCACGTTTCTCGGCCAGGGCTCTAGGG